AAATTGACCCAGAAGAATAGTTTTAACACCTTGCTTACATTTGCTCTAACAATTTTGAAATAACATACTGTGCACTCTGCAAAGGACAATTCTAACCATTTGCTATTATTTTATGGCAATAGTTTGTTTTATAAATCAAATGTCAAATTGGTGTAATTCACTGTTATTATCTTGGTCCAATACCCGATAATCCTGGACTTTAATTATATGTTCATTGGATGACATATCAATATCTGTAGAGAGTTTAACTGCACATCATCACAATCTAGACTATAGTATCGAATAAGTTTAGCATTTCAATTTCAAACTGCCCAATTTAATAATAATGTCAATCTTACCTTACTGCTCTTATATTTGCATTCCTGACAATAAAGTATAAAGTCATCCAAACATTTGGTAGTCACGGCAACACAGTAGAATGAGCATCATACTTGTTAAAACAAAGGTCGCCGGTTCGATACCCGCACAGGCCAGCCTGGTCGGCTGCCTTTGTTGTTTCCTTGGGAGAGGTACTTATCTCCCCTTTCCTCGGCATCGTAGATCCAATAGGTTGTTAAAAGTGGCTTTGAAACAAATATTAATATGAATGCTTTTCAGGTGACTCAGAAGATTCGAAAGTGATCTCATTAAAGAGTGCTGTTAAACCACACCTGTTTCGACTTAATGAACAGACTTAAAGGCTTATTAACATTTGCTTCATTAATTATTTTCAGCATGGTCAAGTTTTGTAATGACATGGTGTTTATTTTTGTAATCTTGTCGATGTTCATGTTTATATGTGTTACCTAATATTGTAAAGGGCTTACAGCTTCTAAAGATTATGCTCTGCAGTGCATATTATTATTATTATTATTATTATTATTATTATTATTATTATTATTATTATTATTATTATTATTATTATTATTATTATTATTATTGTTATTATTATTATTATGATTATTATTATTATTATTATTATTATTATTATTATTATTATTATTATTATTATTATTATTATTATTATTATTATTATTATTATTATTATTATTATTTTAAAAAATTACCACTGGACAAAAACTTCAATAGAAAAGAGAAAAGCAATTGACACCGATAATGACAGTATTAATATTTCAGATTTTTTTACATTTCTTCTGTATTTTTATTTCCTTCGGATATCTGATTTCGTACGAGAAACTGTTGTTACTAATTTAGTGTTTGAAACTTTAGTGACAGAAAAGAGCAAAATTCAACATGTTTAATATAATTCAACAAATAATTTAACATGAACTTATAGTATTGTGAATTAAAACCCAAATAGCCCACAAAATTCTATCGTAATTCCAAAACTATAGAGTGTTCCGAATGAGTTCCAATCTTAAATGTGCTGATGTAACTTCAAATAGTTCGATTTGCTAAGAATATAGATATATCACAATGATATTATTGAGATTGTCCTTGAAAGAATTCATCATAATCCCGAAATAGTGATTTAGCCCTAAAGTCAATCAGCATGTGTAATTCGAATGAACAATTTAAAGAAATAAATCCTCACAAATTATAACTGATAACAGTTTAAAGACTGATGTGTACATAGAGATGTGAAAATAGGAATAATAATTCTAATGTAAACAAACTTGTATAAATTACCATTTGATCAATGTCGCAATAACCATTTTCTGAAAAAAAACTGTCATCTTAATAGAAATTTCCATCAAATTGTAAATAAAGTCGTTTCTAGAATCTTCTTAAGTCAGAATCAAGGCTGTTTATAGAACTCACACCCAAGTATATATGTTCACTAACATTTTCTTTAGGTTTAGTCGACGCTCGTGTACAAACTTTAAATATGATTTACGTTTTTCACAAAACGACCATGGATACACATAACACGCTCCTATTTCTATTTCGGATTTTTATTGAATTACAAATCCAGTACAATGTCGTTCCACCATCACAGCTGCATTTTTCACATCACCTTGGTAACCGTGGATATAAACTCGGAAAAAGGTTGGATTCCGCAGCCTCATCTGAAAACTAGAACTGTTACATCAGCGCTCATTTTCAGCTACAACCGAATCTTTTTTTTTTTTAAAACAAGATTTGATACCACAAACATCTAGGCCTGTCATAAAGAATTTCATAGCTTCCAGTTGTTTCAACTATAAAAGAGACATTCATGGCTTCCAATAGTATCAACTATAATAAAGAATTTCATGGCTTCCAGTTGTATCAACTATAATAAAGAATTTCATGGCTTCCAGTCGTATCTACCATTAATAAAGACTTTCTTGGCTTCCAGTGTTACCAGCTATAATAAAGAATTTTGTGGCTTCCAATTTTTTCAACTATAATAAAAATTTTCATGGCTTCCAGTGTTACCAGCTATAATAAAGAATTTTGTGGCTTCCAATTGTTCCAACTATAATAAAGAAATGTATGGCTTCCAGTTGTACGATCTATAACAAAGAGCAACCTGGCTGATAAGCCTTTTCGACATTTTAACCTTCTTTCCGGTCAAAGACGATGAGGCAATTTTTTACTTGATCAAAATATGCTGGTCAATTAATTCAAGGCTTACATGTATACATTCTTAATGTCACGACAGAGCACAAAAGAGAAACACGTGCTATCAAAAAGAGCCTTCTTATGGAAATTAGTTATAATCTATCGCTTCTATGTTCAAACACGCGTCAATTTGAAATGATCAATGAATATAACCGTGAGTTATATATTTCTATGACGGTAGACAGATTCAATCTGAAGTAAACAATCTTTCATTCATTCCATAAACTTGTTTCCTGCCGTTTTATAATTGGATAATCTAACGAATTCAGTTTCAAAGCAACCGCTCAAGCAACCTTATGTTGCGTACTGGGGTTGGATGGGGTGGGAACATCCGTAATTGGAACACAAACTTGCCACTAAACAATTTTTATTATTGGGAGGGGGCTCAGTAATTACATTTAGCGTGTGTGGTGGGAATTTCTTAGAAAATTGTATACCATTTATGCTATTGTCACGGACATTAATTTTAATAAGGGACCCTTTATTGTCGCACATGCTATTGACACGAATATAAATTTTAATACGGGACCCTTTATAAGCACAAATGCTATTGACACCGATATCAGTTTTAATAATTGTCCCTTTCGCATTCCTTTTCTAATTTATTTTCTTTTTGCTGGAATTATGACTGTTTTAACGTCATTTTTCACACTCTATGGTTATTTTATGATGGTGTACGGAAAATTATTTATATACAAAATACGCACGAGAATTTTTATGACCCAATAAACATCTAAATATATTTGCACGTGATTGAAGTGGTATATTGATGTAATATATTGGCTATTATATCATTCTCAAGATTTGTCATACGAAATGAATGTGGGTATGTGCGTGCTGATGTATCTGTGCTATCAATATTGGGTATAACAATATCAAAAGTTTAAAACGAAGTCACCCGCAACTTCACTCGGCATGATGTGGTTTGACCCTACCGATTATAACTGTTACAGTTTATTCAGGAATATGATTCATTCATTCCTATACAGTTTAGTTAAAGATGTATCCATATCAGAAAGCTACGCGTCACTGTTAAAGAATCTCAGCTATGGGGTATTTTTAAAGGGAAAATTCAATACGTGCAGGATACATCCATAACTAAGATGTTTAAAAAAAAAAAACACGAGTCCTGCTGGAGTGAATCATTTCGTGGATTTACGTTAGGGTTTGAAACATTTTTGATTTAATATTTTTCAGAATTAAAACACAGTATAGATTTTAAGTAACATATTAATCCACACATTTGCTAATGAACATTGAAAATCCGCATTCACAACTATGGTAAATTGACATTGTTTTAAGCACAAATAAATACCAGTATCATTACTGAGGATTGAATATATTCGTGTTCTCGTTTGAACATAAATTATGAATCAAGGAGCTTTCAGTATCAGTACCGTTTTGAGAAATCTGCTTTAGCAGCCTCGTTAATTCTAATTTGCTTGTGAAAACTATGAATCAATTGATTCGTTTATCTATCCAAAAATCAATCAATGCGCCATCTGAATTTATCGATCTGATGTCATGATTCCTTTTGCTTCTTACCTTTGGCTTCAAATCGTATATCGATTAACCGTGACGGCTGAGTATAAACATGTACCCAGAAAGCAGATGATGATGCATAGTGCGTAATTTGGTGGGGTCTGGTGTCGAAATATTCGCAATCAATTCATAGTTAGTTATTTGGGTATTTTTATATTTACAATCAATGCGCCTTCTGCAAAATACAAATTTACATAGCAAAAATGATCCCAGTAACATCATAACATGCGACGAACAGCGGCGTAAATTTAAAACATCCGTAAAGCAAATAAGATCAGATGCGAACAGTTTGGGTAATGCGAAGAAAATTAAAATAAAATGTATACACAAGACTCTTGCAGAAGTAACGTAATAGAAGAAGCTTGTTAAATGTTCGGTTTAAAACAAAGAAAAAAGTTCGCAAGTTATCAATGACAGGTATAATCTTGCTAAAGACATCGCTTGGCATTATACCGTTTGTAAGTATATAACTGCGTTGCTTTTAGTGCTTCTTAGGTCTGCGTTTTGAAATCACAAATTTACCATGTAATCGTATGTTGTAAAGTCATAAATAATGAGTTAAAACCAAATTCCTACATTTTTATAAGAAATGACATATTCCTTTGTGTGGGTGTTACCATATCATAGAAGAACAAGCAATATATGTGTGTGTGTGTGTGTGTGTGTGTGTGTGTGTGTGTGATTTGGATTTTAGCTTTAATAATTTTACAGTCCTATCGTACGATGGCTGCAGTATGACAGTTTATAGTGATGTCTAGCACTGTTTCATCATGCCACAGACATGTAGCATGATGTCCCAGACAGTAACAATATCCTGACACCTGACCAACTAGTCCTAACACTAACCTCTTAATGCTGGGCGTCAAGCCAGGCAGCTGTTTGTAGCATTTTTTAAAAATAAGTCTTTAGCATGACTCTGGCGGGGTTCAACCAGCGACCTTTCGCATCCAAGGCAGACGCCCTAACCATTAGGCCACCGGAGTGGTCGACAAGCAATATAAATGCTCAGATATACAAACAATCCTCAGAATGTGTATTTTCGTTGATTGTTGTAACACAGTATGCTTACATTAAAAATCCTCTTTCCCAATAAAACTTAATCCACCAAATTGTGGATACTGCACTAAAGGCCAAGGTTAAAATAGAAAAATCTAAAGTACTAACTGCTTGACCACTTTCGACTAAAGTTTCAATAGCTGTGTGCCTTTATGACTAAATAAGCCCCTATATATATATATATATATATATATATATATATATATATATATATATATATATATATATATATATATATATATATATATATATATATATATATATATATATATATATTACCATGTATATGAATTTATAGAAATGTATTTTTTGTCCTCATTAAATTCCTGGAGGAGTAATTGGTGCAGGAAATATGGTATGCCCAATTAAAAAGATGATTGTTATTATTGCACGTTGTCAATTTAGTCACAAGTGAACGCATCATAGCAAATCCTTTTAAACGTTGAATAATGATTCGGACAAAAATTTAGACGCGCCATCTATGTGCTTTTGCATTCCGCAGTTTTCCTAAAGCCTTATTTTGTATGTTTGAATTTTTGATGAATGTCTAATAATATTATCTCTACTTTAGTGAGTATCTGAGAGCTGCGTCACATTCACTTACGCATGGTTGGGGGTAATGTTTGGTCCATCTTTAGTGACATTATGTTTGTTATATTAAACAATTTGCTAAGTAGATCGCATTATTTGTATTGGAGCAACGAATATGGGACTTATAAAGGATTAACACTAAGCATAAACCCATATATGACTCTTAAGTCCATAGTCACATGACTTTTGATTTACAACCTAAACAAGTGTTCTTCCCCTTGGTGAGTCAAGTAAAATTTTTCTTAATTTCAAATTGTCTGGAATATCAAGTCAGATTTAAGTGGCAGCCTGACAAATTGGAGATTTATTAAGGGGATGATTGATAAGGGTCTGGAATAATCTAAGAGCAAAGAATGCAATTCAAATTCTTGATGCTTAAATAAAGGACAGTATATTGATGGGATTATTTTAAAATAACGGTCTATAATCCGAATGGATATAAATAATTACACAAATCTGAATGTCAATTTTTTTGCCAAAATAGTTAATATATTGCCTTTTATTAAAATATTGTTGTTTATTTGGGATGATGGTGCGGTATATTTAGTTTCTTGTTTCTTACATCTTGAAGCAATGTCGTATATCTACGATTTATTTCATTATTAGAAACATATTCAGTTGCATTTGGCAAAGGCAAATAAAGGTGATGCCAACAATGTTTTCTTAGTTTTAGTGCTTAATTTTAAATATATTCTCTACTCTTGTTCGAAAAGGTCATTATTCCAATTTGACAGATAAAGGAGCATTATTGAATTTCATATATTAATCCCCTATTGACTTGTATTAAAAAGAGATCACCAGGTAAATCCACAGAGTAACAATATTTCTTCTTTTCAATTTCTAAAGATAGCAAAGTCAAGCAATACGAGAAAGGTTAAAGAGTCTCCGAAACCATTCTCAAAGTATCGCCAAAACAGAGATTTAATTTGAGAAAATTAATAAAGTAAACAATATTTATCACCTCTACGAGCATATTCCAACAGTTGTTTTCTTATCTGACAGACAACTGGCGTAGCAATTCTTTTTGCTTGCTTTCTTGTATAATGACATGGAACTCTGGCATCCAAAACTCAGTGTAACCTTGTCTAGAGAATAGCACGTTCAGTGCACTAGACTAGGAATTGTAAACAAAATTAGGAACCACTAAGGTATCACCAGAACGAATGCTTTACTGACAGTTTAAGTTTTGAGATTTTAGATTGCTTCTTGTAAATTTAAGAATAATGTTCTTTCTGGAGTATTAGTTTCAATAAATATATACTCTGCTTATATCTATAATTGCCAGGAGCATAGTTTCAATAATTATATATAGCTTAAACTTTTCACTGCCAAGAGTATTTAGTTCAGTAATATATATTTTACTTATATTTATGATAGTTTTCTTTTTAATCTTTAGAAACAATTGCTAAAATAGTGAAACCTGTTGTTAATCAGAAGACATTAGTGGCAACTGATCCTTTGCAAGTTTGATCCACTTAAACGACACATATTAAGCTTTAGCGAGTACTAGGTAAGTATACGTGATCCTACCTTATATTGTATTAGCATGTATTCAGCTAAAATTATCTTTGCTTTCAAGCTTTTTAATAATTATTTAAAATTTATGCCAATCATACAACTTGTGTATTCCTAAATTTCAGGTTTCCATCATTAATTAAATAATCACATTGTAAAGACACAGATGCTGTAGTTTCATGTTGCAAACAGTTTCTTTGCAAATCATAGAAATATAACAAAGCCATAAAACAAGGTGCAGGGTAAGTACTCCTTCCATATTTATTTTTTTTTCTTCAATTTTTAAAAATTATTTTTTGCTTTGCTAAAATTCTTATAATTAGCTAATGTTTCTACTTTTACATTACACCTCTTTGCAAAATGAACGCTCTTTTATCTTTGATTTGTTTCTTCTTGTGCCGAGAAACTAAACTATTCTTACATTCAGCAGTTATGTTTTGTATGAATACTGTCTTGGTACAGGAAGGAGAAAACGGTTCAAAAAATTGCAAGAACAAAATAAAATCAGCTTGCCCATGCATTAAAGCACATAATTAACTCAGGAAAGTAATCACAAATCTCCTCTACTGTTGAAGATGGACGATGTTGACGTTAGCTTTACGCACGTCAAAGCATCCGACATATTCATTAACCGAGTGGCATATATGTTTCTCTGTGTATTTGTTGTGTGTATCAAGGTAGCGGATCGAAGTGGCACATTAAGAATGAAAAATATATAACCTCTCTGTGTTAAACATCCATCTGAAAATTTCTTTCTTTTGACTATCATGATATATTATTTTAATAGTGTTAACGTTATTTACAGAATATGCCTTAAAATGAAACTTTTTGGCTGGAGATCCTTCCGTCCGTGATTCATGTGCAGAATATCTTCTTGTAGGCCAGCACATGGTCGCTGACGTAGCCATCAAAAGACTATTTCACACAACTGCTTCGTAAAGAACAGCATGTGATCGCTGACGTAACCAATAAAAGACTTGTTCATAACAGTACTTCTTGCAGAACAGCACATGGTCGCCGACATAACCAACAAAAGTCTAGTTCAAAACCAGTACATCTTGCAGAACAGCACATGGTCACTGACGAATCTAACAAAAGACTGTTCGCACCTGTATTTCTTGCAAGGTTTGATTATTGATTCTTCTGCATTTGAGCTAGGATTGTTTTCAGTTGTACCTTTGTACTCGAGCTTTGTATGGTTTCCCTTTCTGTTTTCATTGGTACCTTTGTGCTCGAGCTTTGTATGGCTTCCCTTGCTGTTTTCATTGGTACCTTTGTACTCGAGCTTTGTATGGCTTCCCTTGCTGTTTTCATTGGTACCTTTGTACTCGAGCTTTGTATGGCTTCCCTTGCTGTTTTCATTGGTATCTGTGTACTCGAGCTTTGTATTGATTACGCTCAAATATTGACAGAGATAATGTATAAAGAAAATATGAATATATCCAGGAAAGCGATAAATTTTTAAAATACCCAAATACGCTACTTTTTACTATTTTAATCGTTGTTTCATACATATACAAATATACAAGTAAACACAGGAACAATATCTCTCTCTCTCTCTCTCTCTCTCTCTCTCTCTCTCTCTCTCTCTCTCTCTCTCTCTCTCTCTCTCTCTCTCTCTCTGAAATTCAATAATTTTTTTAATTAAATGCCAGTAGTATCCAAAAATTTAATGAGCTGATACTATATGAACAAAGTATTTTCCTTCTGTGATAACACTGTAGTGGTTCCCATTTTTGTTTAATAAGGCAAACGACCGTAAGTTCATGTATCATCACATACCTGGAAAAAATATGAATGCAGATTTAAAGCACTCTTGAACGGTTTACAACCGCTTCATAAAAGTGATAGAGTGAATAATACAGAAATGAGAATTGGTTATCGATTATTCATCATACATCGGTTTTGTGTTGAAGACTGGGTGTGCTAGAATAAAATCAAACGGATTAAATTACAATATTTGGCAATGTCATGGTGAGACAGCTGTTCCTGGCGAAGAGAGGCCCTTCGAAAGTTACAAAATGCACCAATAGATACATTTCGTATTTACCATTAGAAGAACTTAAGCTTAACGGACGTATAATATGTGCATAGGAATTTTTCTGAGTACATTATTTTTTTTTATAATCGTCGTGTTTAGATTCCAGCATATATAGGTAATCCTTGAACAGTTAACAAGAGAATTTGATATAAAAAACATACGCTTTAATAATAATAATAATAATAATAATAATAATAATAATAATAATAATAATAATAATAATAATAATAATAATAATAATAATAATAATAATATGGACTTATTACAGCACCTAATCATTAGACGCTCTAAGCGCTTACAATATTAGATAACATATAAAACATATAAAAGCATATAGTACAACACGGTTACAAACACAAACACCAAGAAATTGCAAAACAAAATCATACTGACAATAATTAAGAAAGTAAACATTATTAAATCTTCCATTCTGTTCTTGACGAAGAAATATGCGAGTTTTGAGGGCAGGTTTGAAAGATATCACGTTGTTCTTTTGTCTAAGATCAATGGGCAATTTGTTCCAATTAGCTGTACCCTGGTACGAAAGAGAACGTTGTCCGTATGAATTCGTTTCAACTGTGGGAACAATGAGAATAATGAGAATGAAAGTGGTTGAAGAGGAGCGAAAGTTTATTGATATGGTCTACACGTGGGAGAGGTCAGATAGGCTTATTAGAGAGGTCAACGAAATGTAACAGTTAACATGTCTTGTTTTTGATTCTGGTTTGAATGGGTAGACAGTATAAGTTATAGAGCGGTGGAGGTGTGCTCATGAGGATGAAGA